TGGAGGGGAGGGGCAGGGAGCGGAGCGTGTGCGCACGCACATGTGTGTGGACACGTGTGAGTGCGTGTGAGTGTGTGCATGCGTTTTTATGCACGCAGAGTGGTATGCAGGTGGTGTACGTACGTGGAAAAATTTGTACCTCAGCTTCTGGGGTCAGGTTCTCACCAAATAGCCCCTGAGGCCTCCATGCAAAGTCAGGGAGACGGCACAGGACCTGTGGGCTCAAGACGGCTTGGGGAATCATCTGAAAGGGCACAGCCTGGGCCAGCTCTTGGCTAAGCCAGGGCTGAGGGGTTGCAGTTAGGGCTGAAGTCTCTTTTCACAAATCCTTGACGCTGGGCTGCCTCGTGACTTTCTTTGCCACCGGGCTGAGGCAGAAGTGGGCCATGTGTCAGCTCTGACCCGAGGCCTCAGGGGGCCTTGCCTGCTCTGCCCCACCTTGGGGCTCTGCGGCCACGCGGACCATGCCTGGGTGCACCTGCCGGCGGGGGGTGGGGGGTGAGGAGACACGTGGAGCCCGGCCTGGCCGGCCCGGCTGTCCCTGCTGAGGCCCCACACTGCAGCCAAGGCCTGCAGCGTTAGCACGTGAATTTGTACATGGGAAGAGAAAGATTGCTCACACAAAGATTAGGATAGAAAGAAGTGAAAGGTTTTATTTTACTTTCTCCTAATGAGAAAGGGCTCGACACAAGGAAGGAAGAACAGGGTGTTGGCCCTGAAGTCAAGGGAAGGCCGTAAAGGGGCAGAGGAAATTTATTGCTGTGGGCTGATTAGCAGGAGACAGCGGCGAAACTGCTGCGTTTGCCTTTTCCCTTTTGTCTGTACCGCAGGCTGATAACACAAGCGGCTGGCGGCCATCTCTCCTATTCTCAGGGAGACCGGTTTGTCCTTGGAATGTGGTTTTTGTTGGCTTAGGGGTCTTCAAAGCTGTGAAAACAAACTCCTCTTAGACAGAAGATGTTAAGCCCCGGGTGGTCGATCAATCCAAACAAAGGGCAGTTGCATTGTGAGTTTACCCCTCTTACTTTCTGCTAGACGGTTCATGTTTCTCTGTTAGCTAGTTTGTTAGTGAGGCTGGCCTTTCACACAGGGCCTCCTAGCTGCCCTCAGCCGAATGCAAACGCGTGGGTGAGTCCAGCCAAGCCCAGATCAGACCAGGATTGCCCAGGCCACCGATACACTCGTGAGCAAAAGCACATGCTTCTTTGTGGCGTGCCACTGAGGTTTCACAGTTGTTACGTAGTACTTCTGTGGCCACAGCTGAGTGAAGCGATCCGTTACTTTACGGTGGCTCTATCCTTTCTCACGTCAGCCACCCCACAGGCCTGAGACCAAACAGGCCATGCTGAAATGTAAGAGCCAGGAACAGCTGGAAAAATGGGAACACCAGACTCCAAGCCCAGCTCTAGGCCCTCCCGCTCCTTGCCTGCCCCAGTGCCATCCTGTTGCCCTATTTATCCCTTTCCTTGTCTTCCCTTTTGGGAATGCTGATTCTTTCCTAGTGTTTGCCAGTTTTCAGAATCTCAGGTGTGCCCTAGCAATATCCAAAGATTATCAAAGATTTTTTTTGTTTGTTTTTGGTATTGTTACGAGGCCACCTGTTTCAATCCGTTGCAGGTGTTGATGGTGTTACAACCGTGATGTCCAAATTTGTTCCTTTTATGGCTATGATTTTGTCTTCACGAGAATATCATATAAATGGAACCATACAGTGTGCAACTCTTTGAGATTGGCTTTTTCACTTGTGATAATGCCCTTGAGATCCAAATTGTGTGTATTGAAAGGAAACTAGAATATATCACCCCTAAATATGCCAAATTATTTTGAGCCGGAGGCAATTAAGAAGCAGCAAATGCAGGAAAATCCCCCCCTACCCCCACCGTTTTCTGCCTAAAGACAGGATGTAAATTCTCCTTAACTGGGGAAGACTCTAGACTCTTATGAGCCCAGAGAGGGCACTGGAGGAGTCTGCAAACAAGCCCTCCATTAGTTTCCTTCCATATATTTGCCTTCCCACAGTTTCCCATCCTTGGAAGCCTAAAACTATTTTCCTTTGTCCTGTCATTTCTCTACAATGTCGTTCTTTGTCGAAGCTGCTGCATAAACCAGAGTTCTAAGCCACCACTTGGAGTTACTTTTCGCTGAGGTTTCTCCTGGGTGATGTGGGCTGCCTGGTTAATAAACTGTTTTTCTCTTGTTAATCTGTCTTTCTGTCAAAGAGCCGCAGCTGAAAACCTGCGATGGGTAGAGGTACAGTCTTCCCTCCCCTACAGCATCAATAGCATGTTCCTTTTCATTGCTGAGAAGTATTCTATTTCATGGATGTAGCGCAGTTTGTTTTTATATCATTCATCCAGTGAAGGGCATTTGGGCTGCTTCCAGTTTTTGGCTAAGGACATTTGGGTACAGGTTTTGTGTTAGAGTAAGTCACATTTTCTCTAGGAGAAATACCCAGGAGCAAGATTGCTGAGTCATAGGGTAGGAACATTTTTACTTTATAATAATCTGCCAAATTGTTTTCCAGAGTGGCAGTGCCGTGGACAAGCCCAAGAGCCGGGCCAGAGGCTTCCAGTTGCCCTGCATCCTCACCAGCACTTGGTATTGTCAGCACTTTTTATTTTAGCCATTCTAATAGGTGTGTAGTGATAGTTCATCATAGTTTAACAGCTAACGAACGATGTTGAACATCTTTTCATGTGTTTATTTGCAACCTTCCATTCTCTTTGCTAAAGTGTCTGTTCAAGTCTTTTGGCCATTTTGTAATTAGATTGTTTTCTTATTATTGAGTTTAGAGTGTTCTTTAAATATTCTGGAAACATGTCTTTTTCAGATATATGATTTGCAAGTATGTTCTCCCAGTCTATGACTTTTCATCTTCTTAATAGGGTCTTTCACAGAGCAAATGTTTTTTTCATTTTGATTAAGTCCAATTTATTGATTTTGTTTTCTTCTGTAAATTGTATTTTTGGTGTCATGGCTAAGATCTCTTCACCTTACTCTAGGTCACAAAGATTTTCTCCTACGTTTTCTTCTAAAAAGTTTTAAGTTCTGTTTTAAATTTAGATCTATGATTAATTTAGAGTTAATTTTTGTATAAGGTATTAGGTTTAGATTGAGTTTTTTTTTTTTTTTTTTGCCCATGAATGCCTGATTTTAAGCAACAATTGGTTAAAAAGACTATCCTTCCTCCATTGAGTTGCTTTTGCACCTTTGTCAAAAATCAGCTGGTGTACTTGTGTGGGTCTATTTCCAGACACTCTCTTTTCCACTGATTTATGCCAATACTATGCTATCTTGATCACTATAGCTATATAATGTCTTAAAATCAGATAGAGTGATTCCTCCAACTTATTTTTATTTTTCAAAATTGTTTTGGATATTTAAGTTCCTTTGCCTTTTCATATATATTTTAGAGCTAGTTTGCCTATATCTACAAGGAATCCTGCTGGTATTTTTATAAGAATTGCATTCAACCTATATACGAATTGGGGAGAATTGACGTCTTTGCTATGCCCACATGCTACATCTCTGTTATTCATGTCTCCTTTTGGTTTAGCCTTCCTTTGTTTCTATTTGAAAATATAAGCTTGTGTGTATGTATAATAGCTGTAAGAGTACACAAAATTTATATTTTTCCCTTTCTCATACAAAAGTAGCATGCTGTATATATTATTCAGTACATTGCTTTTTTTTTGTTTGTTTTTTTGCTATTTTTCATTTACAAACCTATCCTGCAGATCACTCTCAGCAGCCGTAGAGATCATCCTCATTCCTCTTTATAGCTGCCCAGGACTCTGTATGCGGATGTACCATGGCTTTAGTCAGTGCCCTAGTTCTCTACTGAGGGAAATTTTGGATGTTTCCAATTTTATTTTGTGTGCTGTCTAATTTTGTGCAGTTATTAATAATGGTGCAATCAATTAGCTGAGTGGGTCCTAATAGGATTGAATGGGAAGGTCAATGCCCTGGGGCTCCCGGAGGTGGGAGCATCAGTGTGGGGTGGGTGTGCCTAGTGAGCACCGTTTCGCAGCCCTCACATGTGAGTGTGTGCACGCGTGCGTGCGTGTGTGTATGCGCGTCTGTGTGTGAATGTGTGTGTTTATGCAAGTGTGAGAGTACGTGTGAGAGTGTGTGTGTGAAAGTGTGTGTGAACATAAGTGAGTGTGTAAGAGTGTGAGTGTGTGTGAATGAGAGTATGTGTGTGTGAGAGTGTGTGTGTGCGAGTGTAAGAGGCACTGCCACCCTCTTGCGTGGCGCCAGGCATGTGGCTCCCATCATCCCAACGATGTGGCCTGTTGTCAGCTGGAGCCAGACGTCGGAGGAGGGCAGAGGGACAGAGAAAGAGGAGGGCGGGAGATGGGGGGGTGCTCTCTGCAGCTGACTCTGTGGACTGAAAGGTACATGCAGGGGGCGCTGCTGGTCCATAGGGCACCTTTGCGGGAGTGAGGACAGGTTCCCTTTCCCTAAGTAATAGTATCGTTTAAGAGCCATTGCACAACCTGATCAGCTCTCTGTCTGGGGCGTGGGTGGGGCACGCCTTTTGCAACCCCCACCCCACACCCAGGAATGCTGGGCCACACGCACCACCAGCCGGCACCGTGCACGCTCTGCACTGCTCTCCCGCCTCCTTGGGGGGAACCGTGTCAGACTTAGAGTTGGGGGCAGGGCAGGAGTCGGACCTCCACAAATTCCACGGCCCAGGCACTGATTTAGAACTGGTTTCTCAATACTGAGCACACACTAGGAGCCACGAAACAAAAACGCACCCTGCGGTTCACCCAGGTTAAAAGAAACTGAGAGCCAAGTGGAAATTATTTATGAATTTAAAAAAAAGGCATCAATAATGAACAAAAATGAAGCTTAGTAGTGAAGGGGACGGAAATGGTTGTTCGTTTCAGCCTCGCAACAGCTGTAGCGGCATGGTCACGGGGTTTCGGGGAGTAGGAAAGGTTCTGCTGCAGTGGCTCCTCCGTGTTATCAAGGCAGGCATCGCGTGTCATCTATCTCTGGGCAAAATTAGCTCTATGTTGGTATATGGGTTGAGGGAGTACATTGTTGGTGTAGATTGGGTTGGCAGGGCTGGTGGTAGCATCAACAGGGCCAGTGGTAGTGTAGACAGGGCTGCTGGTAACATAGACAGGGCCAGTGGTAGTGTAGACAGGGCCAGTGGTGCTGTAGACGGGGCCAGTGGTAGGGTTGACAGGGCCGGCAGTAGCGTTGACAGGGCTGGCGGAAGGGTTGAAGGGGCCCGTGGTAGCATTGGCTGGGTTGACACCGAACACATTTGAAAACGCCGTTGTGTTCTGAAAGACAAAGGACATGAGGCCATCATCTTCCTCTGTAGTGAACTGCAAGAATGGCCACAAAGTCTTCCCCTTCCTGTTTCCATATCCTTGGGTAGACCCTCCCTCCCTGATGTGGGACTGGGTCAAGTGACTTTCTTTGGGCAAGGGAACGATGGCAAATGTGACACAAGCAGAGATCTGCAAAATGTTTTCCTGCTGGGGCTTGCTCTCTTGTTGTTCTTTCAAACACTGAACATAGAGAAGCCTGGGCTGGCCCCCTACATAGTGCGAGACAAGTGGCCCGGTTGTCTCTGTTGACAGCCAGCTTGCCAAAGGCCAACATGCAAGTGAGACCATCCCCGATCATCCAGCCTGGGCAACTCAGAACCAACTTCAGACTCATGGCGAGCCCAGCAGAGGTGAGCAGACCCAGAGAGTCTTGAGCTGAGTAAGTGGTCATTGTGTGAGCCGTTAAGCGCTGGGTTGTTTGATATGCACCAGAAGCTAATTGACACAGAAATTGGTAGTTAGAAGTGGGGTAACAAAAATCCAACACAGGCATTGGTTTTGGGACTGGGTAGCAGGTGGGGCTGGAGAAGCCGTGAGCAAGGCCCTAGCAAAGGCTGGAAAAATGGTCATTTCACTGCTGGAAAAGGCCAGAAAAGGGGAGAGGAAACCGCCCCGGCAGTCGGGAGCAATGGTCACCCAAGCTGTGTAGTGGGGGAGCACTGTCCCATTTGGAAGACAAAACAATCTATCTAATTGCTTTTGGATTTGGCTAAGGACATGGTCGGGCAGAATCATGGAAATGTCACTTGGGTGCTCCTAGCTGCATATGATAAAGTACTGAAAGAGAGAGAGCAGATAATGAAGGAATGAATTAGTTTTTTTAGTAGAGGGACTATAAAAGGTCCAGGACTTGATTAGTTAAAAAACAAGATTGTCTATTATTTCCAAGGTCCCCAACAGATAAATGATATTTGAAGTAAAACTAGGCCTGAGAACAAAGATCAAACCAAAGATGTGTCTATACAAACTTTTGTCAAGACTTTTTTTTTTTTTTTTTTTTTTCACTCTGTTGCCTGGGCTAGAGTGCCGTGGCATCAGCCTAGCTCACAGCAACCTCAAACTCCAGGGCTCAAGGGATCCTCCTGCCTCAGCCTCCCGAGTAGCTGGGACTACAGGCATGTGCCACCATGCTTGGCTAATTTTTTCTATTTTTAGTAGAGACGTGGTCTCGCTCTTGCTCAGGTTGGTCTTGAACTCGTGAGCTCGAAGGATCCCCCCACCTTAGCCTTCCAGAGTGCTAGGATTATTGGTGTGGGCCACCATACCTGGCCTTTCAAGACTTTTGAAAGCTACAAGGTAGTGCCTGTTAGACCCTGACAGCTAGACAGAAAGAATTCTGAGAATCTAATGGGTTTGATCCCATAGAAGCCTAATCCCAAAATAGGTGGTAGATTTAGAGAGAGGGGCATGTCTAGAACACAGTCTCAGGAGTGGCTTTTGTCAGATGGTGAGAGCCATAATCTGATATATTAAACACCCTCGGAGTTTTTAAGGAAATTGTATCAGCAAAAGGACTACCAACTTAGACCAAACATGACTGAAATTGCTTAAATTGCAAAAAGACTTTTGGGTCCCACTTTCTTAATACAGGAAGTAGGTTGAGAGAACTACTTATCTTTTTCAAGATGGAAAAGATGGGAAAAATTTCTTTCATTCTTCTTTTTTTTTTTTTCTCTGAGAGACAGGTTTCCTCTCTGTTGCCCAGGCTGGAGTGCAGTGGTGCCATCATAGCTTACTGCAACCTAAAACTTCTGGGCTCAAGGGATCCTCCCACCTCAGTCTCCTGAGAAGCTGGGACTACTGGCATATACCACCATGCCCAGTTAATTTTTTTTTCTCTAGTTTTAGAGATGGGGGTCTCACAACATAGTCCAGGCTGGTCTTGAACTCCTGATCTCAAGCAATCTTCCCAGCTCGGCCTCCCAAGGTGCTAGGATTATAGGTGGGAGCCACCGTACCCAGCCTGATGGGACATTTCTTATGGAGAAAAAAAAGAAATAGTTCTGAGGGTGGAGACAAGAGGATAGAGTCAAGACGTTGGAGAACAATGGATTAGGGATCCCCTCCCAGGAAGCAGTGGAGAATAGTGGTCTGGGTAGACTTTTCTAGAGAGGCAGATTGACCCGTAATCAACAAATACTCCTGCCCCCAGGGTAGGACAATATTTGCCCCCTAGGATTTCAGAATTATGGAGCAGTGACTGTCCCGTGCTTCCTGTTCTTCCTCTTATTGAATGGGAGGGTGTACTGCAGTTACCCTGTTTTTGTCTCACTAAAGCATGTTGGATACATGGAGCATGGAACTTGTTTTTAGTTCATACCTTTCTGGATCCATAAGACTCACATCCCCAAATACTCAGTCACATCTGGACCTGATTTGGGTCCTGGACGTCGAGCCTGACGCCATAATTGGATGGGATGTTTGAGCATCCTGGGATGGGGGTGAGTGTGTTTTACATGTTGGATAGGTGTGAGTACAACGATCAAAAATTGCGGTCTGGGGGAAGACCGTCATAGACTGCAGTACTGGCCAGACATCCTGATGTTCATGAGCCTTTGCTGGGTGGCTTTGTAGCTCCTCTCCTCAAGAGGTAGAGCTGTTTCTCCACTCATGGAGTCTAGGCTTGGCCATGTGACTGGCTTTGGCCAGCGAGACAATAGAAGTGTGACACAAGCAGGGACTTCAAGCTGCTGGCCTGTCAGGGCTTGCCATGTCTTGCTGCTCTCCTCCCAGCCCCGCGCGAGGAAGCTCAGGCTAGGGAACTGGAGGATATGATGACACATGGAGCAGAGGGGACCTATTCCACTAAGGCCCCTTTAGGCCACCCAAGCCCAAGCCTACTTGCGGCTGGATGCACATGCAAGAGTGAGTCCATCCGAGACCAGCAGAAGAGCTGCCCACCCGTCATAACCCCAACTGATGATGCTCAGAATCAACAGCTAAATAATTGGTTGCTGTTTTACGTGGCTAAGTTTTGGGGTAGTTTGTTATGCAGAAAACACTAACTGAGACACCCTCTTTCAGGCCTCACTTCTCCCCATCTGTGGGCACCTCTTGCTACAGCCCCTCAGAGCACGCTCTGATTCCTGGAACAGAGCCCAACACTTACCCCAAATTTCTTGCAGCAGACAGCCTGGCACCCAAAATGTGAGACCACACATGTGAGGATGAACTCCAGGAGGGCGAAGGGGAGGAGACCACCAGGAATTGCCTTTACATGCACCTAGAGGCAGAGAGGAATGGGAGGCTTTTCGTCCTTGGGTTTGACTGTCTGGATGACAGTTCACATGTGGAGGGGTCCTCTTAGGCAAGCACTACATGTCTCATCTGGAAGGCCCGAGACCCTCTTGGCTTGGGGCACCTTGGGGCAGATGCTAGGGGCGTCCCTCTCATACGCCCTGGCCTCACCCCCTTAGTGCACACTGGCCTGACTTCCTGCTGCCAGCACCTGCATTTCTCTGCCATAGGGCTCTCTCTGGACTCTGGGGCACACTCTGGTGTTGGCACAACAGATTTGAAATTCCAGGGAATCAATGCCCCTTGAGAGCATCCTCTATCCATGACTGTCGGGGTTTGGAGTGTCAATACCCTAACTCCCTTCCCTCTTAGGCTGGTGTATGCTTGCCCTCCAAAGTAAACTCCCAAACTCTGCTTCTGGGAGGAAGCCAAACCAAGACACACCTCAACAAGCACACTAGCCGGGTAACTGTGTGTGAGGGGCTGGGTATCCTCAGCTGGGGTCAGGGGATGGCCCCCACTGGGGTCAGCATCATTGGCTCTGCCAGCCTCCTGCGATCTTGCCTGGTGCTGCCCCGTGGCAGCTTGGGAATGGGGGCCTCCAAGTGTCAGGGGCTTCTGCCAAGACAGGAGCCAAGGCAGGACGGAAGGGGCCCCACAGAGCCCAGTGTGCTCCAGGCCTGGGCCCCACCCACAGTAGGCTGGGAGGTTCGGGGAGATCCCTTCCTCATCCCATGTGCACCCTTGCTCTCTGCAGCAGAGGGTGGGGAGCGCGACGTTTGGACCAGTGCCTGTTGCAATCCAAAGCACGAATGCTACACTACACTCACATGCTCCTTCGTGACAGGGGGCCTGACTGCCGAATGACCACTTTTAGGATTTGTAGCTGTTGCTGCTCTTGATTCCCCATGACCACAATCCACCCCTTGTTGGGACACTTGGTTGCATCATGCTGGACTCCAGAGGCCAGAGCCTTGCCTGGGTTTGTGGTTTGCTGCCATGTCATCTAGACCCTGTTGTACCGGGTGGATCAGGCTTCTTCTCAGGGCCTGCAGGGAGCTCTCCCCTTGGGGACGGCCCTCACCCCTGTAGACAGGTCTAAGACCCTGTGCCCTGCCAGCTTCCCCCGGCCTGCTTGGTTAGTCCTGAGCTAACGGTGGAGCAAGTTACTCTTGATCTTGTTCTTCAGGTCTCCTCAAACCTGTGTCAATGTTCCAGATGTCCTTCCCGTCTTTCCCTGCGTGCTGCCTGACTTTCAGCTGCGTCACTTTGCCTGGGGCTGCAGAAGGCTGCTTTGCCCACAAACACTGCAGACTGGGAGCTCATGCCTCTCGGGGGAGTTTTCGCTGAACGACTGAGGGAGTCGATGGACAAATACCCCAGCTCCCCTGTCCCGGCAGAGCGCAGGCAAAGGCGCGTATTGTTCACTGTCTGCCAGGGGCCAGCAGGAAGAAGCTCCAGCCGTAACTTGCTTGAGGAAACCCTTTAGCATGTGGCCTCGACCCCTTGCTTGCCTGGCGTCCTCCCTCCTCTGCTGGGTCTCCTGGGATAACCTCTGAAACACGTGACTGGCACCTGACTCCTCATCTCTGCGTCTCTTCTGGGGGCCCCAGAATAGGGGAACAACCGAGCACTAGCACCTCTGTCTGGGTGAAAGGCTGTTCCTCCACAGTTTCCTGGGGTAGGTGATCTTGCGACTTTGAGAGTGGCGGCTGCTCAGGCTGCTGACCTGGGCACCTGCTGCCTCCGAGCAGGAAATAGAGTAGGTATGAGGAGGGGTCAGACAGCGTCACCTCCCCGAGCCTTGGTGTCCTCACTGAGAAATGCGTTTATCATGGCTGCCTCGGAGGTCACTGGGTTTTGATAAGGGTTAAATAATTTATGGACACGGTGGTTGTCACAGGGGGATGGAATTCTGCAGCAATTCCTTCCTGCCCTGGAGCCTCATAAGCCCTCCCGGACCTTCGGAAGCATGGGGCCCTGGCAGTCGTGGATGCTCACCATCTCCAGGTGGATAGCCAGATCCGCAATGGTAAGGAGGATCCCGGCCAGGGACGTGAGCGCGCTGATGATGTTCGTGGCGATGCTGCCGTTCACCTGGAGGAGACGGAGGGAGAGGAACCGGTGAGCTGAGTCTGCAACCGGCTTGTGGGGACCCCAGGAAGTCAGAGAAGAGGGACACAAGGGCAGAAAAGAGATGGTCAGGCAGGAGGAGAAGCCAGGGCAGTGAGGTGAGAAGGTAATATTTCACTCACCGTGCAGAGTCCTTTTAGGGCAGGAGCTGGATTTGTTTGAGGAAATACCTTGCTAAGCAGCGGAGGGGTAAGAAATGAGATTGAGAAGGTTGCACTGGGAAGAGACAAGGCAAGGGTGCTGAACTGCTCGGCAGAAGAAACGAGCAGGGATTCCAGGCTTGCCTTGGGAGAAGGGAGTCGGGGAGACTTGGTCCCGTGGTGGCAGGCTGGGCCCTGGGCTGGCAGGATTGGCTGGGGAAGGTTTTCAGACCCAGAATGCCTAATATTCAATTTTAAGGGATCTTTTGCTCAGTGTTGAGAGCCTGAAATCCTCCAATTACCGACTCTCCATTTCCTGCTCAAGCTGGTTCTCTTTAGGGGGGTTAAGGAGAGGGAGACAGGGAGAAAACGAAGAATAAGGGACCATGCCCCCCGTTTGGGCTGAGGCCAGGGCAGCTATAAGACACAGAGTGAGACTGAAGTTTAAGGTCCGAGCAAAAGAGGCCTAGGAGACCCCCAGGGATCGGCTGGCATCTTGCAGAGGGCATTGGACTTCCCAGAGGATGTGGAACAGGGCTTGACCCAGTCTTGTTGGGACATTAGGAACAGTGTGAGCTGAGCCGACATTGGAGTGCCAGGAGGTTTCTGCTCCTACCTAGGGGGCTGAGGTAAGGAAGACTGTGGGGCCACAGACATTTGCCTTGCAGACTGGGGATTGGTAATTGGGAACCCCTAACCCTGTCAGACAACCCAGGCCGTGGCTGACCCATGACTTTGCAATGGAAAGGCAGAAGAGAGATGAGAAGCCATGCAGAGCAGGTGCAGAGAGGGAAGAGGGACATGAGAAGGAGGGAGATGAGAGTAGGGCCACCACGGAGCTCAAAATCTATCCCAGAGCTTCTTAGAGGCTGCAGCAAAAACCAAAACATGAACACATATTAATACCATGCTGGATGTTGACACAGTGAATGACATTCCCAAGGGGCAAGAGAGCCCTGGGCCCTGTGCCCTTCACTGGGACTCTAAATTGTTCAAGGCAAATATTTCTCTCACTTTTCTAGATCTAGCCAAAGCGGAGGGTGAGAAATACCTTAAAGATGTGGCTGAAATGCAAACACATTTCTGCGTGGCCCAGGCTTGGCTTTCTGCTTAATTCAGAGCACCTTGGCTTTCTGCTTAATTCAAGTCATCGAGCTGTGGATACTCATGAGTATCCCAAAGGCTGAGTTTTTGAGTAGTAGAATGCAATAGGTAAACAGAGAACAGCTTTGGAAGCAGAGAGCTCTGGGTTCAAATCCTGGCTCTGCCATGTGCTCACTGTGTGATCTTGGGCAAGCCACCTGACCTCTCTGTTCCTCAGTGCTCTCATTTGCAGAATGGGGATAGAATTTCATAGAGTTGTGGGCACTGAATAGAATAAAGTATGTAAAAGCACTGAGCTCAGGGCCAGAGCCAGGCCACACAGCTACCTCTTTTCTCATGTTTGGTAGAGACCCACATTCTAATATTCAGGGACCATCAAAGATGGTATTGTGACTCACCATGCAAGTGCTCTTGTCCTTTTCAGCCCATATGGAGAGGGATCCAGATATAATAAACTACATAGACAAAAACAAAACAAAACAAGAGTGAGCAGTTGTGCAGAGTGTTAAAAAAGACAACCACCCCATCAGAGATGCATTTCTCAATCTTTAAGTTCCATACACCTTGTCTCACAAAGTGTGCAAATATGTTTGTCTTCTCAACGTCTTTACTGTCTCCATGGTTAGGCACCCAATATACTAAATACTGTGACACTCCAACTCCTGTGTGTCTAGGCTAACACCATTCTTCCCCCTAAAAACCTGACTTTTGTTCCAGGATGCCGTAAGTCTCATTAGTATTATTTTTCGACTGACCCCTTCGAGCCCACTGCCTGGGCATATCATTGCCAGACTCACTTATGGCTGATCGGGCCTCACACTGCCCTGTGCTCCACTGTGATCACGGCAAACCAGGGCCAGAGGAGGATGGTGGGTAGAGCCTTGGGGCTGGGAGGTAGGAGACCTGGGCTTCTGCTCTACCTTTGCTGCTTGCTGTGGTCCTGGACCCAGGCTGGGGGACCTAACTAGCACTTGATGCTGTGAGGCAGGTGATGGGCACGTGAACACCAGAGGCAGTAAGAACTCGGTCCTCTTATGAGAGCCCTGAGCTGAGGGGTCTGGGCATGAGACCTTCCTCCAGCACTTTCTGGCTATGAGGATGTAGTCGTAGTACCTCACCTAACCTCAGTTTGGCAAATAGGCATAGATAATGATGCCTGCCCTCTCTACCTGCAAGAGTGCCACACAGTTCAAGTGGGAGAATAAGGGTGGCATTTTCAATGGGGAGGACAGGGACACTCAGGGGTCTTACTAGCTCTCTTGAGCTGTCCCTCAAAGGAACTCACTCCCTCTGTCATTGCAGAATCCTAGAAGGCAGTAAGGCTTGGGCAGAAAGGGCAGACTTGGGGCTTGCTGGGAAGCTGCCCCAGGGCTCTTGGCAGAGGATGGGAGCAAGAGGCTGCTGTGATTGTCACACCATGTGGCTGTAGCTCAGCCCTCCAGCTGTGATTTTTTTTGCCCATAGATGGGACTTGATTGTGTTCAAGGTGTCTCCCCAAGGGACAGGTATTCTTGTCACTATTGTGTGGGAAAAACAATAGACCTCCAAACCCAGGTCACCAGGGTGATAAGTTAGTTTAAGATCTGGCCAAATGTAACAAAATCTTACATTTTAAGGGCAATATTGAAAACTCCAAGTCTGTAGTCAAGGAAAAGCATATTTTATGGACCTGATCTGAATTTATCGTACTTGTGAATTTATGTTTTATATGTTAATCTTCCTAGGGCAAGATATTTGACATCTTTTGCATCTTTTTAGTCAACCCAGTATGTAGCAATCAACAGGTTTGTCAAATGAACTTCAGAAATGTCAGGTCTTAAAATTACCCAATGGATTAAGGCAGTTAGTTGACATATCTGATGAACTTGTGACAGTGCTGGAGACCCAAGACATCAAAGCTGAAATTGATCTGGGGTACGTGTGGAAGGCCACCTGTCCAGGCACCGCTGCCCTACTTTCTAGCCAGGCAATCTCCTTGAGTTACTACTATTGAAGCTGCTTCAACCTCCTCATTTGTAAAATGACCAAAGTATTAGCTCCTACTTATACTACTTTTTGTTGGGATCATTGAGATGCTGTATGAGAAATATTTGTAAATGGTGAGGTGCTTTAAAAACCTGCATTGTGATTGACCCATGTCCATTTGGAAGGGATCTTTGAACTGGATGATATGAAATCCTAAAAATGATTACCTAATCCCAGATGGCTGAGTCCAGGGGACTTAAAATTTGGCTGAAATCTATTAATGCAGGAAGTGGAGTATTAGCTGGTACGATAAGATAAGGAAACAAAATAAAAACATAGAAGGATTAAAAAGGAAGAAACGACAAGGTTATTATTAGTAGGTGATGTGATAGTCTGCACAGAAATTCCGAAAGATCCTATAAGCAAATCACTAGAATTAAGAAGAAAGATTGACAGTTTAACTAGACATAAGATCAATGTGCAAGCATTAATTGCATTTTCACACACCAGGAGTGAGCATTTTGAAAACATAATTTTGAAATATATTTACAAAAGCAAGAAGAACAAAAAAATTTAGGGAAGAATCTAAAAAAACATATATACATTGTTTATGAAGGATTTGACCGAACTTTGTTGAAAGACATTAAAGCAGACCTTAGATGGAATGACAGGCCATATTTATAGATCAGAAGAGTCAATATCACAAAGATGTGAATTCTTCCTAAATTGATATGTTGATTCAGAATGAGTTCAATCAAAACTCGATGCGATTTTTTATGGGACATGAAATTTAGATGGATGATCAAAGGCCAAGTTGAGTTTAGACACTCCTGACTGAAAAGTAAAGAATTAAAGGAAATTCTAGAAACCAAGATTTGCTGTAAAGACATAGCATTTAAAACAGTGTAACATAGTTGTGGGGACAGAGAAGGAAACACATGGAACAGAATGGAGATCTTGGAAACAGACTGACACATCCACAGATCTCTGACATGTGACTGGTGGCTTTGTAGGTAAGTAGAGAAAGGACAGACCAGTTGATAAATGACACCAGGACAATTGCTTATTCACAGAGAAAAAAACCCCTGGACTTTCACTTCATAATATAAACCAGAATCAACCCCTTATAGATTAAGAATATAAATATAAAAAGAAAACTTTAAAAATTTTAGAAGAAAATATAGAAGAATATCTTTATGACTTTGAATACGAGAAGATTTCTTAAGACACAAAAAAGATTAAACCATAACAGTTTTGACAAATTAGACTACATTAAAATTATGATTTTTCTGTTCATCAAAAAATCAAAAGATACCATAAAGATAGTAAAAGGAGAAGTCAAAAAACTGGAAGAAGACATTTGCAGCACATAACTAACAAGGGAGAAACATGAATTATTGATGAAGAACCCCAAAGAATACAATAGAAAAAGACAAGGAACCCAATAGAAAAATGAGCAAAGAAGCAAACTGGCATTTGATAGAAAAGAAAGAGGAATGGTCAATGGATACATGAAAAGATGCTTAACTCATTGACAACCAGAGAGATGAAAGTTCAAATCACAGTGTTACACTCACCAGATTAGTGGATGTTTATAAGTTGGACAATATCAGATTTGAGGCAGCCTGTGGAGCAGTAAGAACTCATACTGCTGATGAGAATGTCGATTTCTATGAACTCTTTGGAGGACAATTGACTCTACCTAGCACAGCTGAACTGTACAAATCCCATACCCGGCCATGCTACCCTTAATGGCAGTCTAGAGAAGTACTTCTCAAACTTTAAAGCATACAAGAATCCCCTGGAGATCTTGCTAAAATTCACATTCAATGGGCAAGATTCTGCATGCCTCACAAGCTGTCAGGTGAGGCTGCTGGTCCAAGGACCACACTTTGAGTAGCGAGGGTTGGTCGACCTGTGCTTCTTTATCTTTTTCACAAATAGATTTCCTTACAGCCGCCCTCCTAGGAGCTCCAGGGAAGTCTCCATGCAGTTAGATGCAACTGACAGGGGAGTTCTGGTTTCCTCAAGCCCCACCTGGCTGTGGCATGGTATCTCAGGGCACACCTAGGGCCACGCACCGCATGCTAGCCTGGGTGGTCCTGCCCACGTGGTCTAGGAAGCACACGCGAGCAGTCACAGGGGCATAGTCTGTATTGCACAAAACTACAGGCAATCCAAATGTTGGTCAACAGGAGAATGGATAAATACATTATAGTGTGATACTATATGTTAGTGAAAACGAATGAACAGCTGCTTGGAGCACAGATGAATCTCCCAAATGAAATGTCCAGTGGAGGAAAAAGCTAGCGGCATACAGATATAGCATGATTCCATTTATATGAGTTTGCAAATATGCACAACCAAGCCATGCATTGTGTAGTGTTGTATGTGGTTGGACTACAAGAAAAGGCAAGGGAATGATGAACACAAACTTGAAAATAGTGGTTGCCTCGGGGCAGGGAGAGGATACTCTTACAGATTTTATTTATATAACTGTTGGTGTTGCCTTGTTTTTTAAGTTAGGTGCTGGATACTGGATGCTCATTTTTTAAAAATTTAATTTTTTATTATTTTTATTATTCATTTATTTATTTTTGAGACAGAGTCTCACTTTGTTGCCCAGGCTAGAGTGAGTGCCGGGGCATCAGCCTAGCTCACAGCAACCTCAAACTCCTGGGCTCAAGCAATCCTCCTGCCTCAGCCTCCCGAGTAGCTGGAACTACAGGCAATTTTTTTCTATATATTTTTCTATATATATTAGTTAGCCAATTAATTTCTTTCTATTTATAGTAGAGACGGGGTCTTGCTCTTGCTCAGGCTGGTTTGGAACTCCTGACCTCGAGCAATCCACCCGCCCTGGCCTCCCAGAATGCTAGGATTACAGGCGTGAGCCACCACACCCGGCCAATTTTTTATTATTGTTAATTGCGGTAAAATACAACATAAAACTTACCATTCACCTTCGGGTGTGCAGTGCACTGGCACCAAGCAAATTCACATTGCTTTGCGATACCACCACCATCCTCCTCCGAAATGCCTTTCATTGTCCCAGACTGAAACTCTGTCCCCATTAAACACTAACTCCCCACTACCCCCTTTCCCAGTCCCTGGGAAAACCACCGTGCTACTTTCTGTCGCTATGAATTTGACTATTCTAGGTACTTCATCTAAGTGGCATCATACGTGTGGGTGTTCATTTTATTATTGTTATTTAAACTCTACAACATTATACACGCCCAGTGGTGTGCCAACAAACATTTAACACCCACCTTGTGAGGCGGCAGGGGTTCAGGGAAAGGCCCTGATTCGGAGCATTTGTTAATTTTCACAGTGTATACATACCCAGGATGGCCAGTTTCCTGCTACCAAACGGCTTGACAGCCCTTTTACATGATGCCTGCAAATGTTATAATTAGCTCTCATGCGTGGTAGGTAGATGCTGTCTCTAGCACACAACTTTATGCACTCTGAGTTGCATACGTGCTGTTTCATAAAAAGAGAACCCAGAGAGAGTGGAATAGTTAAAGCACAGGGTTCCGAATGGGCTGGGGGGGTGCAGCCGGGGCACGGGGTGGCGGTCGGGTCCTTGACCCTTTGCTGCACCTGCAGAGTGAGGTGGCTCTAGGCTATGCCGGTCATATTACTGGGAATGGGATCCCATGCTCCTTATTCCTCTGCTTTCTCCGAGTCCCCTGCTGGTGCCCCAGGAAGGAGACCACATGGCCTTGTACTCACGGACAGTCCTCCCCAGACCGGGTACCCCGACATCCCAGTCATCGTTCGATTGATATACAACGCAGGGTTGATCGCAGCGAAAAAGTGCGTCAGGCCGATGAGGATCTGGACAGCCTGCCGGGGAGAAAAGTCACCGTGAGAGAACAGACGCGGGTGGGGGCTGGAGGGCTGTGCAGCTGCACTCTGCAGCCCCAGATGCACCCCAGAATCTCCCCAGGTGTGACTGGATTGGGACTGCCCGCAGACCAACTGGGTCGAAATCTCTGGGGGTGGGGTCCCTGCCTGGGTCTCTTCCTAAAGCTGCACAGGTGGCGCTGATGTGCACTCAGGGTCGAGAACCACAGGCACGTGGAAAAGGGGAGACTGTTTAGCGCACAGGAAGAAAGAAACATCTGCCCCTCAAACCGATCCCACAGGCGTGCAGAGATAGGCCGGGCTGGGGCACCAAGCCTGGGCATCGGGGGCAAACCACCCGGGCTTGCGTCCTGGCTGTGGCACGGGCCGGCCGTGTGGCCTCCGGCGAACGCCCTCTCTGTGTTGCAGTCTCTCTGTTTGCAAGTTGGCGATCCCAGCATCTGGCTCGCAGGGGCGTCGCAGAGATCAGGACTGTGTGTGAAGCTTGGAGGCCAGTTCCTGGCGTGTGGCAGGTGTTTCAATGCCCTCCACGACACCACTGCTGTCCCCACACCCCATGTCCTCTTTTCTACCCTCCTTGCAATGTGCCCACAGTGCCCCTCTGCAATGGGCACAGTAGGGGGTGCTTTGTCCCCTTCAGGGCCTGTGTCCTTCCTCCTCCCTCTGTGCTTTTCCTCCACTGCTGCCTGTGTCTGAAATCTACTTATTTTACTCGCATCCTGCTGAAGTCCTATTTTCCCCTTAAGGATCAGCCAAAGCCTCTTCCTGACCTCCTCCCCATTCAGGCTGAATCCCTTCCTGTTTGGAGTCCCTACAGAATTTGCTGTCCCTCAGACCTTGGGGGTGGCATTTGGATTCTCTGGGCCTCAGTTTCTTCAGGAGTCACACGACCAGAGTAGAGAAGATGAGTTCATCTCACCTGGTCTGTGAGTCCCTGAGTTGGTGACACACCTGGATTCCACACGAGCATCCCTTCCTGAGACAACGTGCTCGATTTTGTCTGCAGGCTGCTTTGTCTGTATCCTAAGAGGCAGGCATAGTTTCCTCCCCAAAATGAAATTGTAATTCACTAAAGGTGGTCTACACTTTTGGCTTTGCATTGTGTTTGACTGGACTCCCCAGGCACTTGTTGTGACTTAAAATAGTTGTTTTGAGAAATATTCAAATCTTTCCAAAATGCCTTAAAATAATTGGGAGCCAAAGTTAACAAGCATTTACTCAGTATTAACACTAAAGATATTAATCATAATAAAAAATGATAATACAAAATTACTATGTAACATCACATACTATCCTTACCTTTTGTAGCATTTGCACACACATTTATAATCTCCCTTGATGGTTGTGACCACGATTTCTGGGCTTGGGACTGTTTTATAGAATTTAGTCCAAGATTTGATTTTGGTCAGTTTGGGATGCAAACAATGCCTTGTTTTTTTTTGTGCCATTTCCTTGTCTATTCCTGAAGGGTCACAAGGAGGGATAGGGGTGCTGGTAAGTGTGCCCCATTCCTGAATCCGTTCTCATCCTCCCGCCTCTATGAGGGAGGCTCTGTAGCCTCTCAAGGAAGCTGGTCAACTTGCACTCTTTGGGCACCCACAGCGACTTGTGCATACGACTTATGACTATTGCCAGAAGGTATTGTAATTATGGCAGCTGCTACGAAATGAAGAACCTCTGTGGTCTTCAGGGATGGTACCTTGGGCACTCCTGGCAGGGTGCCTGCCATGTCGGATGGTGACTGCACGTGGATCCGGCACCTGTTGCAGGCCAGTCCCCATGCTAGGAGTGGGCCGGGTGTCCGGTGGGGCACAGGGCCGATCTGGTTTCCGCCTCAAAACTGGAACTGAATTGAGCTTTGTGAGGTGCCGAATAAAACTGGAGGAGGCAGGAAAGAGGCAGGAGCCTCCTTGGCTGAAGAAGAAATGACAAGACCCCAGAGCTGGAAGCTAGAAGGAATTTAAGAAAGAGCTTGCTAGATCTTCTCATTCTGAAGAGGAGGAAATTGAGGCCCAGAGAGGGGAGGGGATGTCCCTGAAGCCATTCAGCAAGCCTCGCGGGCCCTGAGACCTGGATCACCTGGCTTCCTGGTCCCTGGTCCTTTTAGTGAAACTGCTGTTGACCTCTGGCTCTGACAGCTAGGCGGGGGCGGTTTCAGGGAGTTGGCATCCATGGGGTTGAGCTAGGCCCAGCCTCCAGAAAGTGCCTTTTGTCCTTTGCCCTCTCTATCTGTTCGCTTCCTCATCTAAGAGCACGAGAGTTGGGCTTATGAAGTAGCCCAACTGGAGAGAAGAAGAAATCATACTCACCCCCAATGTTTTGACCTCCTCATTTATGAATTTCTTGGGATCGAATATAGGAAATGATCCAAATGACATGTTCCATTGGAATGGGTTTGAGGTGTGTGTCGGCCCAGGGAAGACGTCCGGAGGATTCTGAGGACCTCCAGGAAGGGCCTGGAGGTTCGCTGTGCCCTGTGTGTATTGCATCCCTCCGGGTGGAGGCTGCAGACCGGCCATTCCCACTGGCTTCTGGTTCACCACGAGTGGGCTCTGTAGGTTTGCTCTTCCTGTGTCACGCTGGGGCACCGGTGATGAGGCTGGGTGAGTGGTCACCCCCAAAGGCTGCTTGTGGCTTTCAGAGTCCACAGGGTCCTTGGACTGGATGACATGGACATTACTGGGGGCAGTGATGCCAGGCACATTGTTGGCTTTAATCGCCTGTTCGGTCATGGTGTACAGCTGCTGCAAAACACAAGAGAATGTCCATTCCTTCCTCTGACGAAACAAATCATCCATCTTATCTCACTCTTATTTTTAGTTTCATCTTCCTGAAAATAAAAACCACCTACCATGATACCATACAAAATAAGCTTCTTGCCTTCCTTGTGGTCCATGTCCTTGGGACATGCTGTTTTCTTCTTATGGGTTTGGATTTGCAAGACTAGGTTTCCTGAGGCTACTTAGCTCCTTGTAGAGCCTTTGCTGACTATCTGGGTAGTGACTTTCTTTAGGCCCCTGCAGCTGGCATTTCAATCCGCCCGCCTTGAGTTTGCTGAGTGGGCGCAGGCTACCTCCCCTCCCTGCTCCCTGTCCTGGCCATGGCTGATGGGTTTGTGGCTGGACAATTGAACCCAGGTGAGCTGGTAGACTTTTCTTCCTGGGCATTGGAACTGGACCCAAGGACTATTGTGGGATGGGAGGCTGTGCAGAGCTGGAGGGGTCATATTTATATCGTGGGCAGGGGAATAGAGAAAACCAGTTGAAAGGGTGAAAGGAAGAAGGCTGATGAGAGTTGGGGGGGGTGAGAGAGAAAAAGAGGAGGAGAGAGAAAGAGAGGGAGAGGGAGAGAAGGAGAGAGAGGGGAGGGCCAGTGAGGGAGGGAGAGGGAGAGAGAGAGCCACCTTGGTTCTTGTTGCTGTTTTGATTCTTTTTTTTCTTTTTTTTTTTCTGTTTTGATTCTTGGTTCCAGGTTCTCATTAGCCCTGGCTATACTTCTGCCCTTGAAGTCTATAACTAGTTAACTAGCTTATGGATTTAATTTAATTAAGCTAGTGTGTGTGTGTGTGTGTGTGTGTGTGCGTGTGAGTGTGTGACTTTTCAACATTAATTGGTTTCAGAGAGAAAAAAGACTCAGCACTGCCTTTCCCAGGTTACGTGGGTACCTGTGAGATCTCAGGGGGACCGTGAACCCAGTGGACTGGGAATGACTTTCGTTTCTGACCTCTTTATAAGTCTTGTCCGTGTTGGTGTTGGGATCAGAACCAGTAGGAATTTTGCTGAATTCTATGTGTTAATGCTTAAACCACTGTGGTTCAAGGTACTGGAGATTATGATAGTGATGAAACCCTTAAGAGCATGTGGAGTCTACGGAATCTGGAACGTTAGAGACCATTAGTAAGGGCATCACTTGGAGTAAGACCTGGGAAGTGGTCCTGATTTGACCTCTGATAAGCTGGACTTGGAGAATATCTTAATTTTTCTGTGCTGTCGAGCAAGGATGCAAGGGAGGAGGTAGATATGTAGCCTCCTCAGAAAACTGAGGACATTGTGGAAAGAGATCCCACCCAGACAAGAGGACAGATTACTTATTAATTATTATGGCTGGTGGTCTCATCTCTCCACCTGCATTATACTTACTGGCAGGAAACCAAATCCTATGGCACAAAATAACACGGACTGGATTCCAGAAGGATGCTGTAGGAGGCTCTCTGCCCCCTCTAAGTCACAGGTATAAAGTGGACCCATCACATTGCCCGCACTGTCCCACCTGCTTCCGGAATGAGAGAAACACCCTGAACTGTCAACAGCCAGCTTGGGTTTGGTGCTGGCTGATGCATCGGCACTAGTTAGCATTAATCATCTAGAAAATAAACTCAAAAGCGAGACAGTGTCAGGGCTAAGAGATTAGGCAGCCCTGAGTCTGTTTCTCAGTTTCATTTATTAGTCGTACGACCTTGACCAAGTTGCTAGAGCTCTCAGTTTCCTGTCTATAGAAGGCAGATGATAACAGCACCTTCCCCAAAGGGTGTTCGGCAGATTAAGTGAGAAAACTTGCACAGAGTCTGGCACAGAAGAAGCACTCAGTTAACATTTGCTCTTCGTTGAAGGGTAGAGACCATCCCTAAGAGAAGGGCCGTTTGTTTTGAACATATTTCTTAGTTGGCCCCCAACTATTTTGTTTGTAGTATTAACACTAACAGCAATGGCTCTCAAAGCATGATCTCTAGACCAGCAGTACTGATATCACACAGAACTTGTCGGAAAAGCAAATTCTTGGTTCCCCTCCCCAGACACTTACTGAATCGGAAATGCTGGGGGTGGGAGTTTTAACCTGTTTTCCAGGTGATTCTGATGCTGCTAAACTTTGAGAACCGCTGCTGTCCAGAAATGCCCTATACTTCTCCTTGGTGGTTTCACTTTCCTTTCCTTGGACCTCAATAGTTAAAAATATTGGCTATACAGAACTTCCAGAAATTCCTAGGCTTCTCTTTCTTTTAAAAATATAGTTGGTCTCCAAGTCGCCTTTCTGAAGGTGGAATGACTTGCCTAACCTTATGCAAATCACAGTGGTATCTCTGAGACTCGGGTTTATTTTCTGACTGCTGTTTGCATTTCCCTGTGTTTTCTTTTCCCAGAAGGAGTGTTCTATCTGCCAGGTGACACGAATGGCAGAATGTTCAGCAGCGTAAACAGAGACTGTAGCAGGCAGCAGGAGTCACTTCTGCCTTAGACCTTGAGCATTCCTTGCTTTCTCAGAGGAACAGCAGGTCTTGGGGGAGGGGGTGGTTTACAATAACAGCTACAGAGACCATGGATGCTCATGCCTCACAGCCTGGTAGATATAAGGCAATTCCTTCAGTGACATACGATTATTATTTTTCCAGTGATATGTTATTGCCATTGCCATGAGCCTTTTGCAAAAGGAACTGAGGCTCAGAGAGGTTAAGCAACTTGACTGTAGTCACACAGCTAGGAAATGCTGAAGCTGAGACTTGAATTACAAGAATCGAAAGTCTGTCTGCTTTCAATTTCCATAATGAATGCTGGGCTAAATGTTACATCCTGCTTCATGATACAAAAAATGGATTATTTCTATTTTCCTTTTTTCAGAGCAGGCTTCCTTCTGTGTGTGAAAACAATACAACTATAGACCCGACAACAGGCACAGACAGCTGGATCTTGTGATGGTGCTCTTGAGACCCCGTGAGTTCTACCTCCTACCAGAAAAATGTCAGCAACAAAGAAGGCAGTTTGGTCAGAAGCCTTTCTACCTACCGGTTCTAGGTTGAGGTCCTAAATAAACTAATCACAGCATGCCTATTGCTAGACTCAGGGACAGCGTCAGACAGAAGATGCCCTGCAGAGTCCCCAGCCTTCTGTGTTAAGATTGCTGTGCCCATGCAGAGGAGTGAGCTAGTTTCCGAAATCTTCAGTTACCTCCCAGCTGGCCAAACTGTGCATTTGTGAGAGTGGGTTGCTGCAAACCCTGTCTTGCTGAAGTGCAAGTCTGCATACGGACCCCTGATTCCCTGCTGTTCCCAAGGGACACTTCCCAAGGCCTGTCTAGGTCCCACATCTCTCTGGGGTGACCCGGTCACTATCAGTCTTGCAGAGGAATTCACAGAAGCCTTACCTTACAGTCCTGGCCAGCCTTTGGATGCTCTTTCTTTAGGCTCTGTAGGTTTCTGCAGCCTGGTGTAGAAATTTCCAATGAGGTGCGAAAAATTAGGTTTCTCTTTCAAGCTCCAAAGTCCTCCTTGCAGTTTCATCTAGAGTTCGTTAGTGAATCTATTGTCTTGCTCCCACACGGAGCTTGTTTGCCCCTCAGAGTATTTATGGCCCTGGTTAACATAGGCTTTCACAGGACTCCTTCCAAAGCCACTAGTGAATGTTTCTTATCCCGTGTGTGCTGGTTAGTATGCTGGGATACCAGGCGCTTTAGACTTTACAGTGAGTTGGCAAGACACAATATGACCATTGTTGGATAATTTTGGCACAGATATGGCCAGTGACAAACAGCCCACCCGTGATGACATAGTTGGGGAGATGTGTCACAGAGCTGGGAAGTCGAGGTGGACATCCACTCAGGTTGAACATTGAGAGGAGGATCGGATTCAAGCTGCGTACTCGGCACAGCACGTTCCATAGCAACCCATCCTTCTCCCATCCGTGAGGACGCCCTAGAACTTTCCATTGAAAAAAATCTCTTTGAAACCCAGTGTCTCAAATGTGAGCCACCAGGGGTTGGGTGGGGGACATGTGTGTCCCCAGTTCTCCCAGCCTTACAGGACTGATCACCCTTTCCTGTAGTTTCTCTTGGACTATTTAACGCCCTCATCCTACACACAGTGGCCCTACTCCCAGCAGCCCAGAGGATTTTTGGTTGTGAATTGTGCTTTCTCAGTCATCTCTTGCTCCAATTTCCTGCTTCCTGTGCATTCCTGCCTCACTCACATCTCACCTGTCACGGCTGTTTGTCCCCCAACACGGGCTCGGTCACGGAACGTAACTCCCACAATGGGTTGACTTATCGGTCCCTCCCCAGAAAGACATGTTGGAGTCCCAGCCTCTTAGCCAGTACCTCAGAATGGGATCTTATTTGGAGATAGGGTCATTACAAAAGTAAATAAGTTAAAATGAGGTTATTAGGATGGGCCTGAATTCAATAAAAAGGGGGAAATTTGGACACAGAAACAAACGCGGAGAGCCAGCATGATGCAGCTACAAGCCAAGGAACGCCACAGATTGCCATAAACCACTGGAAGCTAAGAGGGGACAGGGAACAGATTCTCCGTCATGGCCCTCACAAGGTCCCAACCCCGCCCACACCTCCACCTCACACTTCCAGCCTCCAAAACTGTGAGATGGTAAATTAAGTTAACAAGCCACTCAGTTTGTGGCACTTTGTCATGGCAGCCCTAGAAGACTAACAAAGCTCCCTTCCTGGATTTTCCTCAAACTTCGCTCACACAAAGCAATTCTGAGTAGTGGAATTTTACTAAAAGTAGGGGTCACAGGTGTTGGCGAAGGTGGCAGGGCAGCAAAGCAGAGGGAGTCACTGAAAATTGAGTATTGGATGTCTCTGATCTTAGCTCCTTGCCCACTCCTGCCACAGAGAGCTTAAGCCTGGCACTATCTTTTCCTGGACCCTGGTTCTCCTCCCCTCACTTTCCTTTTCTTCCCATTCCACAGCCTCCTCCTTGGCCTCTGCAGGGATACCACCCCCTCATCCCCCCCAATTTACAGACTCTTCCCACATTATATGCAGAGCACTTAGCTTTCTCTGTTTTAGCTGCCCCATCCTGGCCAGTCCTTGGGGTGGGAGGAGGGCTTCATTTTCCATGCTCCTAAAGATCCAAAGATCGTAGTCCACT